CGTACAGGCCTTCATTTCCAAGATGGACGATCTTACCCGCATGGTACCCGCGTACAAGCCCGCCAAAATTTTTTTCAGGTAAGTTGATAACTCGAGGGGTCTGAGATGCTAGAAAGCTAAAATCTTAAAAGAATGTTCCCCGTCCAAGTGGGTATTAATGAGCTCAAACCCACCCCACTAGTAAACGTGGTATCCACGTACGGCCAGTGGAAGCTTTTCTTTCAGTAAGCTGCTAACTCAGGAGCCAGGAAAGCTAGAAAGCTGAAATTTTATGGGAGTGTTTCCTGACAGTTCTGGCAGCCAGTCTTAATTTGTTTAGCGAGAAGCATTTACCGAAAAAACCGGTGCCGGTAGCAACAAAAACTGCAGGGAACTACGCAAAAAACGCATCTTCGCACAAACAGTGCGTGCGTTGGCCAATTATTTTTTTAAGGCTGATTCAGGAATTCGGTTGCACTCCTACGTGTTTACAGTTTTCTCCATTTTTATCCCTCTTTTTCTCACAAAAGCCTTCCCGTTTTCCATTTATCTCCTTTCTTGCTTTTTTTTTTAACCCCCCACCTCCATTTCCCTTTCCTTCATCGTCTCCTTTTATCGCCCTTTTCCTTACATTCAAAGTCCCTCCAAAAACCATTACATCATTTTATGGGGAAAGCCCTAAGTCCCTTTGTAAACCATCCATTCCTTTCACCGAGGTCTCAGCTTTCTTGAACAACCTTCAGCTTCAACAGCCGACAAATCGTCGTCTGTCAGACACACGTCTCGCCGACCCATCGTGGATCACCACCGGGACCCTGACGTGCTCGTCACGAAGTCAATGGGTATGCGACCTTTCGGGAGTCCCTGCTAAACTGCTTGCCCTAGCAAGCCACCACATTCGTCAGACCCCAAGCGCCACGCACTGTGCTGTTTGTACCTTTCGCACATTTTATTTCATATTGGACCCATACGTGTTTTGTTATTCAATTTGTCCACTAGTCACAGCACCACACAACGATCAACCATCCTAGCAATCCCTTCATCCCTTAAAAATTTTTACTTGGTAACTGTAGCATTAATAAAGTGATTTCTTCTAATTCATCCACTTCTTGGTTGCGCTAATTTCATTTTTTATTTTAATTGTAGAAGTTGATACAAATATGTGAAGCGTGTTCCAAAAGTTTACGTTTTGGTACTGTCAGTTCGACCTCTGAGTTTCTACACTTTAAAATCACGATTCACTCGACTAATCATGCTGCATTTGCCAGCAAAGCAGCAAGTAACTTTTGTTTTATTACTTGCCTCAGGTTCTTTCAGCCTTCCTTCTTGCCTTCCCTCTTCGTTCCTCACCCATTCACCAACTTTACCTTCATCTGCTCCAGCTTCCATCCTCTTCCTTAAAGATTTTTTTTTTAGTTTCTAGAAATGTTATTTATCCCATTTATGCATCATGTCAAATGTTGTTCACAGAGCAAGAAAATTCCACAGTTTACAAGACTTTTATTACTTTACATACCTTGGCGAGTATGGAGCACCGATTAGAATGCCGTGTAGGTGCTGGCTCAGCTACATCAAGGAAAAATGTTTCGCAAAAAACAATGAATGTAAGGCTTCAGGTGCATACTACTGTTTCTGATTTCATCGTCATTTTACATGACAATGCAAATGCATAATTGGTAAGCTAAATAATCTCAGCCAGCCTGCGGTTTTATTTTGCCGCAATGTGACTCCAGCGGGATATTTAGGCTGTGAATTTCTCGCTCCGGCAAGTATTTCATGAAGTATGGACGTTCCTTCAGGATCAGATCAAAATTACACAGTTTGTTACTGCAACAACATCGATCACCACCATGCATCGTCCTGAAAATTAACAGTAGCTGATTCTGTAACAGCTTGCCTGGTGATTTTATGTGTAAAGTGACTGAAAGAAACACAGTCAATTTTTTTTGCAAAGAAAAAACTTTTCCAAAGATAGTGATGACGAAATGACTTAGATTTTAAAAAAAAAAGAACGCCGAACCAATCTTTTTTTACAGAATGCTGTTTTCCACAAAGTCCCAGTCTAAACATCTATGGGAATAAGAGTTTTTCCCGTCCTTCCGCAGTTGTCATCTCCAACGCTCTTCAGAAAGTGCCAACATATGCACACAACCCATAAATATTAAGCA